GGGGTGGTCAGAGCTGGTGGCAGGTGGCATGAGATGATGTGGAACCATGACGTGGGGGCAGACAGGCTGCTGGCCTGCCACAGTTTGGCACATTGGCCTGAGGCATGACATGGCCCAGCGCCCTGCATGGGGTGGACGCTGGAGCTTTGCCCTTCAGGCCAGTGTGGGATAAGCAATGTTGAGAGTCTGGGTCTGGAGCTCACGGCTCCCACGCTTTTCTGCGCTCACCTTCCACTTCCCAGGACTCGCTCTTCAGCCGAACCCACTAAGCCACTGTCCCTAAAATTAGCCTGTGCAACCACCTCCACGCTCTGCTCAGGCTAGCCCTCACACCTGCCAGGCCCCACATGGGCTTCCCCTGAGCCCCTCTGGGCTGGTCCACCCACGGCGATGGGCACTCTCTCCCCTGGGGCAGCTCCAGCCCTGCTGTCCAGGCTCCATCCCTGGGCTTCCTCTGCATAGCCCGCTGGCTAGCTGACATCCTATAGCTGTTCCGTCTCCTTGCCTCGTCTGTGGGGCTCGCAGCCCCACGTGGGTGTGGAAGCTGGGTGCTAGCTGCCCACACACGAGGTCTGGTTGTCTCATTCCTGGACCCAAGGTCTGACGCCCATGCAGACTGGAGTCGGACTGGTGGCTATCCATATCATGGATCAATTTTGAGAAACAGGAAAAAAAAAGCAGGCTGCTAATTATAAATGCTATTTGATAGAGAAACGCTTTCAGCATGTTTATCTGTGATGACCCAAGGATACAGTGTAAGTCCCAGTCAGGGGCGCATGAGGTGGCCCAGACTAAGCCAGCCCCTGGACTTTTTCTCTAAAGGAAGCCATGGCTCAGACCTCAGGACACCTGTGTAACAGGTGCCCACACCGCAGGGCCAGTGGACGCACCAGCGAAGCATGCAGACGAGACATGGTTATAAAAATAACCAGCACCCAAGAGGCCCCCCAGCTGTGGAGGAACGTGGCCTGGTGCCACGGCCGGAGGCCCTCCCTGGGAACCTTGGTGGCTATCTTTATGACCCGGGCGGCAGCAGCGTGAGCAAACGGGGCCGGCTGGGGTTGGGCGGTTACCTCTGTCGGTGTTGGCGAGAGCAGCTGAGGGGGCTGTGGACACAACACAGAGCAGCTTGTTAGTGCTGGGCCCCAGGGGGTCACTTGAGGACAAGACCACCCAGGCCCAGGCCCATCCACACCATGGGACCCTCCTCCAAACGGAAGGGAACCCCTGCCCCCATGAGACCCGACACAAGCTCCAAAACCTTCTTTTTGGAGAAGCATGGTCAATGGCATCACAAGAAAGAGGTTCCCAGGACAGCGTTTTGTGCGGAAGAGCCTGGACCTTGTCTCCGTCCTGCCCCATCCCTGCCCCCACTGCTCTCCCACAAAGACACCTTTCCAAAAGGAAGACGGTGGGTTCAGGACATCGAGTGGCAACGTGCTGTGAGCCCATCACACTCGATTTTCTTCAGAAAGCAGAGAAAAGGGGCGCAGAGGAAGAGAGGAGCCTCAGGGTTTGGGATGAGGTCCAGTCTGCCTGCGGCAGCATGGTGAGTGGCCTCCCCAGCCAGGCACCTCCTGTTCCAGCAGGCGCATACCATCCTCCACAGACAGACGTGTCGCCCAGACTCAGGGAGGCAGTGCATAGCAGGAGGGGTTCTGGACACTGAGCTTCCGGCAGCAAAGCTCACCTGCCTCCTCACACCCGGGAGGCAGGGAGGGAGATGCTGCGGAGAGTTTCTGAGGAGGAGCCCCGGGGGACCAGGCAGTTTTCTCGCACCATTTCCATCCCCTTAGAATGGAAAGGGGAAAGTGTTTTCCACTATTCCCATTTCCCAGATGGGGACACCGAGGCTCAGAGGGGCTGGCAGACCTCTGTGCTGCCAGCCTACTGCTCTTCTTACTGCTAGATTCCCGCCCTGGGGATGGATGGCTGGAAGGCCGCAGTTCTAGAGAATCAGGTGAAGTGTTCATCCCTGAGGCCAGTGTCCGCTCAGCTCAGCACCCTGACCCATGTCCTGTGGCTTCCCAGGCCCCACCCATCATTTACCCACAGACGGGCGGCCACAGTAACCACCTCTGAGCAGGATCCCTGAGAGGGAGAGTCCTTGGGATCCCAGGAGGTGGGGGATGGACAGGACCCCAAAACCTCGCTCTGGACAGTGGCAGGAGCCAGCATGGAGGCAGCAATGACCAAAGTCAGCCACCAGGGGCCCAAGCCCCAGCTCCGCCCCATGAGCCACACGGCCCTGGCCCAGTACGTCCTCACTCGGCCTTGTCCTCTCATCTGCCTCCTGGGCAGTCATTCCCCATGTGCTGGGCCATGGGAAGTGGATCTGCACAAAAGCCCGGCGTCAATGCAGAGTGACAGCGGGCCTGAGGGACGGGTGGTGACTGCGATGCCAGGGACAGCGATCGGCCCCTGCAGCAGGGCGTACCTCGCTGTAGCTCTGCCTGTCTCCCACCGAGTGGCTGATGTAGGGCGAGTAGGAGATCATGTCGGGCCGGTCAATGTTGTAGATAGCCTTGTTCTTAGGGAGGGCAGCCAGGTCCCGGTAGTCAAGAATCTCATCACCCAGCTTCGCCTGCGAGAGGAGAGGAAGAGCGGAGGGGCTGGGTAGACCCACACCTGAGGCAGCAGGCGCTCCGGCAGCCGCAGGGAGGACGGTGGGGTCAGCGCCCAGGAGCCGGGTCTGAGCAAAATGGGGCAAAGGGACAAAGGCCTAGGGGCGGGGAAGCCTCATGGTCATATGGGTCTGCGTCCCCACAGACAGTGAGAACTAGGCCTGTGGTCTAAACACACACTCATCTGTGCATGCGTGCATCAACATGTGCACACACAGATACCCATGTGCAGGCACAGAAGACACACATATATGCACATATATGTGTGCACACAAATACACACTTGGGTGCATACAAACACACAGACATGCATGTACACAAATATGTGTGTGCAGGCACACAAACACATACACACAACAGATTGGTATGCATGCACACACGGGTGCACACATAAAGACACACACGCATACATGCCTTTAAATACACACATGATGTATGCATATGTGCACACACACACGCAAACACCCAGCACATGTACATGCAGGCTTGCACACACAAATACATGCATGCATACCTCCATGTATACATGTACACACAGAGAGAACGTGCCTGCCTACAACTGTGGGAGCAGATACACACTCACACCTTCACCCACCAGCCCCACCAGCACACACACTCACACAGCCTGTGCGTGCCCTTATGCTCCCACAGACCCACACCTGCAGAAACACCCATTCACACTCCCACACACACTGCGCACTAGCACACGTGCTAACGCACAGAACCTCACCTGCACTACCGCCCCCACGTGCACACACATCCACGACCACAGTCACACACACGTGCACACACACACTCAGGGCTTTGGAGCACTGATGCTTGACAGACAGCTGGGGTGTCACCTCAGTGGGGTCACTGCAGAGATGCTCGCTTGTGGGGCCACCCCATGTGCTCAGGTGAGGTCCGCCTGGCCGCTGGCTCCCCTGTGGCTGGGCCGGCCTTCCCTGCGTTATCCGCCGCCCACAGGCTCTGTTGCCCTCGGCCCCTCCTCCCAGCTCTGGGGGCGGACGTGGGTTGGGGGGCGCGTGCTGGGCTCGGACAGGTCCTGGAGCTGGGCAGCAGCCTGGGCAGAAGCACCCCGTGGCCCTTGGCCCTCACAGCAGGGCTGAGGCTCACCCCCAAATATCGGTGTCAGTCCCGGAGTCTCTGCTGCTCGCCCCGGTGCTGACGGGGGTGTACAGTCCGTGATCCCGGCGGAGGAGAGGACACGCATCGCCAGCGCACTCCGGGCACAGCCCAGGTCCCAGTGGGGCGGGCGCCCAGGCTCCCGTGCCTCCTGGAGCTGACACACGTGGTTGCCTCTGGCCCCACCGTGTCCCCTCTGAGGATTAACCTCAGCCTGGCATGGCCAGCCACAGGCAAAGCTGGCCAGTCTGGCTGCCCCAACCAGCTCGGCTCAACCCCTAAAACCCAGCGAGAACCTTCATCTCAACCCCGGCCTCCCTCAGTGCCCCTGGCCAGGCCGGCACAGACCCTGCCCTCCTCTCTGCCATGGGACTGGCTGTCCCTTCCCAGCCCCAGGCAGCTCCATCTAGGCCCTCGCTGCCTGCATCGAGATCCAGCCACAGCCTCCTGGGAGCTGTCCTGCCAGAGTTTTTCCAACAAATATTACCACCAGCAGCAGCAGTGTGGCACTATGCACTCCACCCTGGACAGCACTGGGCTGAGCCCATGAAGGGGGCACTGCCAGGATCTCCACTTCACAGAGGACGAAACCAGAGACCAGAGGGGTTAGGTAACTTGCCCAGAGTCACACAGCCAGGGAAGAGACACAGGCTATTTGACTCCAGAGCTGTGCTCCCGCCGCGACTCTCCCCTCTGCCAAGGCCAGGTCTCTCAAGCTCCAGCTGCATCCACTGTCGTCCAGCTCGCAACCTGCAGCAGCCCCTTCCTGGGATGGTCGGCATAGCCCTCACTGCAATCCCTGAACGTGGCCCTGATGTTTCCAGCCTGATCATCCTAAGGTGTCTCCTTGTGCCCCCAGTGTGCCAGGCTCAGCCCCCACGCTCCAGCTTTCTTGTCCACCCTGAGGTCCAGCAGCCCCAGTCCACCTCCTCCAGGAAGCCTTCCCTGATCACCCAACTCCAAGGCTCTCATAAGTCACTGGGTACTCAAGATGAACCCTGTTATTTACTATGTAGGCTGAGAGAGTGAATCTCTGATGTTTTAGAGCTCTGGCAATCCCCTTCAGAGCCCTGGGTAGTGTTTCGAAGACCGGAGTTTACATCCTGAGTCTGTCATTTGTGATTACGATACCCTCTGAGCAGTATTTTTGAGCTGCTCCTCTCTGCCTTCAAGAGAAATCTGAACTCAGGCCCCAGGGGGTCTGGCCCTTGTGTATCCGCTTATCCCAGCCTCTCCATCCCCCACCCAAAGCCACTTGTCACACTGAACTCCTGACAGTTGCCCAGTCAGCCAGAGCCCGAGGGCTTGGCACATGCTGTTCCCTCCCTCCAGCATGCCCTTCCCAGGCCTCTTTGCCTGACTCGTCCTCTCTCTGGTCCTTGTAGACTTAGCTGAGGCCTCCCCCTCCAGGGGACCAGCCTGCTCTCCCTCCGCCATCTGGGTTGGTGTTTTTCTCCTTTATGCAAAGGTGCTGATCTTTGTTGGCGCATCTGCTTCGGTTCCCCCTGCCCTAGCCCGCCAGGCCCAGGACTGGTGGCCCCCAGGGGACCAGGGCTCTGATTCCCCACGGAGTCCCGTCTCCCTAACTCCAGGCTCGGCATGGCCAAGGTTCTGGGGCAAGCACGCCAAATCGAATTAAAATCAGTCATGCATTAGCCAAGGCGGGCAGATTCGCTGTGTCTTTTTTGTCTCCCCCCGAAAATTGGGAATACCGCCTGCGCCTTGTCCACCTGCTGGATTTTGTGAACGTCAGTACAGCCGTACACAGAGGGCGATGCTGCCGTGGGGGCTGGGAGAGGGGGCCGGCATTTACAGGTGCCCACCCCGCCCACCTCTGTCCCTCTGTAGTCACAGCATTCAGCCGCCCGCTGGCTCTCTCAGTCCCAGGTGCACGGTCAGCAAAGCTCGCCTTGCCCTGGGTTCACCCCGACAACATAGATCAGGGAGGCAGCTTGACAAGGCCAACTGTTACCAACACATCCCGGCTCAGAAAGAGGCCTGCCGACCCCCAGCTGGGCGGCTACGTGCAGTGCTCAGGCCTCCCCAGTGTCTGTCCTGCCCGCAGGGCTCACAGATCCGGTCCCTGGTATCTAAGTCCTGGGCGGTTGCTGTGACAATGGGCTACGCTCTCTAATTGGCGGATGGCCACCAGAGGGGTGTGTGTACAAGTGTTTCCCCTTAGCTTTCTTCTCTCCTGCACTCTCTCCAGCACAGCAAGTAGGAACAGGGAAATGGCCATGTGTGATGCTGCAACTGCAGCATAACCCGGTCAATAACAATGTACCGTAATCTGACAATGCTGCTTTCAGCGACACCAACTCACCGTTTTAGTGCCACGGTGAAGAAAGGTTACAAACAGTACACTCAACGTGACCCCATTTTGTTAAAAAAAAAAACAAAACAAAAAACACATCCCCAGAGAAAAAGAGACCTAACGGGCATACTCCAAAATATGAGCAGTGGCTCCTCTGGCTGGAGGATTAGAAATGGGATTCATTTTTGCCTTTGCATCAATCACTATTTTTTCCTAATAAATGTGGATTACTTTTCTAATAAGGAAAAAAGGTAATGAAAAGATGACTTTAAAAAAACCCCACAGTGTATTGAGAACCGACTGTGTGCATGTTTTATCCTGGGTGCTAAGGTGAATGAGGCACAGCGTCTGGCCACCAGGAGACAGTAGCCACACCACACGGTGAATTCCTGCACCCAGGGGTATCCCTGGGGAGCTGATCTCTTCCTGACCAGTGCGGGGAGGGAGAGGAAGCTGCATTCGCTGACAACCACCCCACAGCAGACGGGTGCCGGGGGGCTGGCACCCTTCAAAGCACACTGAGCTGGTGCCTGGACTGGGGACATCGTCCTGAGGTCCTGAGTGTGCCCAGCACTGAGCAGAGTCAGTGCACAGTCGGGTGATGGCAGATACCAGCAGGGAGACGGAAGGAAGAGCAGGGGCAGGGCCTGAGACTAGGGTGCCCTTGATTGGACTCTTACCTCCTCAGTAAAGGAGTTCTGGCAGGGAAGGTATAGACAGCTCAGTGGCAGAGCGCATGCCTGGCTGAGCTCAATCCCCAGCACAGTCATTAAAACGAAACAAAACAACTAATTTCCTTCCCCACCCTGAAACAAAACAAAGCGAAAGAAAGAAATCCCATGGATGTGCACTGCCCGCTGGTGCTGACACCACGACTTGGGAGGGACAGCCACGGAGCCTGCCTGGTCCCCGGGGAAGGTGGGATGTGGCCAGGCTGGGCGCTGGCCATGGTGCTGGAGTCCCTGTGTTGGAACCGGATGCCTGTCCTCTTCTGGTGGCTCCGTGGCTTAGAGGAGGATGTGACACAGAGCAGCTTTGGCACCTCTCTGAGCTGCAGCTGAGAAGTGGGAGGCTGAGAGACAGGAGGAGGCAGCAGGGCACACTCTTTGCACCCGGTACTCAAGGCACCTCCATTGTGTCAAATTGGGAACTAGCGGTTCAGGTTCAGGAGACTGCATATTAATTTGCCTGAAGCCTTCTGTTTAAAACTGGACTCCAGTGCACATGTATTTGTTGAGCAAGAAGTTTATCTGTTCTGGGATGGTGCGACCAGCTGGGCTCTACCTTGCTTGAAGGCACACACAGCTGGCAGGGAAACTTCTTTGCACTAGTGGTTCCTTGGCAAGCTCGTGTTCCCCAAGGGTGGGGATGCCATGCGAGCCAATCAAGGGGTATGGACTTGGCTGTGCACAGAACAGCCTGGTGGAAGAAGGGGCCCAGCAGGGCTGGTTTTCAGCACCCCACATGCTTTGGGGGTGACAGAGACCCGGGCTCAGAGCCCAGCTCCACTGCTTACTGCTATACAGCCTTTAAAGTAACAGCAACCCAGAGGCCGGTGCCCCTGCTCACTGCACAGCCACGTGGTCACTGCGGTACCTAAGCCCCCTGCAAACACCAGTTTCTTATAACAATAACAGCTCGTGTTTACTGAGCAGTTGCCTCAGCAAAGCTGCTACTGTCTGTGGACCCGGTCACACCAGGCTCGGTGCTGACTGCTTCACAGACGCTGTCTCACTCACGCAACAACATTCATTATTATTGTTGCTCACGATAAGGATGGCATCACGGGTTGAATCATGTCCCCCTGAACTTGTATGTTGAAGCCCTAGCCCCCAGCACCTCAGAATGTAACTGTATTAGGAGACAGGCATTTAAAGAAGTAATTAAGGTAAAATGAGGTCATTAGGGTGGGCCCTGGTCCCATATGCCTGGGGTCCTTCTGAGAGGAGGAGATTAGGACACAGACACGCACAGAGGGACGACCATGTGAGGACGCAGGGAGAAGACGGCTGTCTACACGCCCAGGAGAGAGGCCTCAGGAGAAGCCGAACCTCCCGACACCCTGACTCAGACTCCCGGCCTCCAGGACTGTGAGAA